ATGTAATAAGTAGAGTTGATAGAATTTGATAAATTAGTGGGTAAGAGGTGAAGGAGAAAGTGAGCCAAGGATAATACCAAAAATTCTGGGTGAGGTGCCATTTCAAGATACTGAAAAAGGCTTTAGGTTTTTGAGGTCATGTTAACTTAGAAGTTCATCTATGTGGAGCTGTGTAATAACCAGCTGAAAGTCCAGTAGTTTAGTAGAGGGTCTGGCTAATACTATGTGTCTTTAGGAGTCATCAAAAAGTAGTGGTAGTTGAAGAGAAGACTATAAATGAGCTTATGCAGACTATATAGAATGAGAAATTACTGGAAAGACAGAACCCAGGACATAAATTTATAGTGTGGGTGGAAGAACAAATCTACACAGGCATCAGGAAATGTACATAGGAGAGAAACATATCTACCAGGAAGACGAGTGACAAATGATGAAGCAAGAGTTTTAGCAAGAAATAGTTACTTTGCCAATAGTCCCAGAGGCATGTGAAGCACATTAAAGGCTGCAAATAGTCATGTGATTTGACAAGTCACCATTTTTGTTGCCATTGGCAATGATAATTTCAGTACAATAGATTGTGAGAAAAACCATTTTTTTAGTTTTTATCAACACATTTATTAAGACCTTTACTCTCAGTAGACTACTCCCATTTCTCTCTCATCATTTTTTTCTGGGGAGCAATAATCTAATTGACTCTTTTGATTTTGGAAGAAAGAAATGAAATCCTTTGTCAAGATGCAGTGACTGTCACTGACTCAAAAGTTGTTTTGGCTTCAAAAGCAGACAAATGAGACAGTGCTGTTCCAGTACTCCAATACTCTGATCTTAATAATTGCAAGTAGTGTGGTGAAATGACACACACAAAAAGCATGTCCTAAAAAATTCAAGGTTTAAAAATGTCAAAGCACTGATCTAAATGAATTTTTCACTAAGTTAACTGAAATATCAAGACAAAATATGTACAATGGAAATCTTTCCCTCATACCCCTCTGTCACATCAGTTTCACTGCAAGGTACTGTAATTTAAAGGTGATACTGAATTGTACATTAGTACTTTTAATTTAAACTCTAACATCTACAGTTAATTTTTTTTTTTTGAGACGGAGTTTCGCTCCTGTTACCCAGGCTGGAGTGCAATGGCGCGATCTCGGCTCACCGCAACCTCTGCCCCCTGGGTTCAGGCAATTCTCCTGCCTCAGCCTCCTGAGTAGCTGGGATTACAGGCACGTGCTACCGTGCCCAGCTAATTTTTTGTAATTTTTAGTAGAGACGGGGTTTCACCATGTTGACCAGGATGGTCTCGATCTCTTGACCTTGTGATCCACCCACCTCGGCCTCCCAAAGTGCTGGGATTACAGGCTTGAGCCACCGCACCCGGCCCATCTACAGTTAATTTTTAAAACCCTCCTTGATGAGCCCATAAGTTATGCTTCTAAGTTTACTTTCTATTATTCAATTCAAAATAAATTTATTGTCAGTGGTTTCTTAACATTTGGGTGATTTAATCTCTTGAAGGGCAGTACTTAGTGTAGCAGTGTCTGAGGCTGTTTGTCCATCGTACAAATGTGTTTCCTCAATCGGTAGCTACTAAAAGCTTTAATTACTACCCTGTGGGGAGACCGTATATAAAATTTTTGATGTTACTAGCTCTCACACTTGAAAAAGTTGAGAATCATTAACATGCTGGTTGAATGTATTTGTCACCAAACATATCTCATGCTTTTCTTATTTCAGCCACACTGTTCCTTCTGTCTAGAATGCTTTCTCTTCTCATGATTTATCAAAGTCTTGATTTTCCTGCAGTTGAAATGACATTTTGTCTCTGAAGTCTTCTTTAACCCTTGAAGCCAAAAATGTTCTTCTGCCCCCACTTTCATTATATCTGTATCTTACATGACATTAACATAGAACCATAGTTGTTCTTCTCTCTCCCACTGGAGTGAAAGTTCCTTAATAGAGGGAATATGTCTTGTTCATTTAAAAAAAAAATCACATATTGTGTTCCTCTACATTTCAAATAAGAAAATACCACCCACTAAAGCTACAGATGAAAGCCAATGTAAAATCATTCTTACATAGATGCTAAATGTCAGATGCAATGTATCCTAAGAAATGGTTTATAAATATGCTGTCATAAGGCCAGAGCATCTTGCAAGTCTCTATTAAAGAAAAATGGGTGGGGTGTTTTGGCTCATGTCTGTAATCCCAGAACTTTTGGAGGCTGAGGTGGGCAGATCACTTGAGCCCAGGAGTTCGAGACCAGCCTAGGCAACACAGTGAAACGCAATTTCAATGAAAAATAAAAAAACAAGCTGAGCAGGGTGTTGCATGCCTGTAGTCCCAGCTAATCAGGAGGCTGAGTTGTTTGGATCTCTTGAGCCTAAGAGGTCTAGGCTGCCGTGAGCCAAGATCATGCCACTGCATTCCAGCCTGGACAACAAAGTGAGACCCTGTCTCAAAAAAAAAAAAGATATACCTGAAATATTTCTGGAGAAATATAAGATAAACTGCCATTACTGTAACAGATCTAAGATAATGGAAGAGTATAGACAAAGGAGAAATGAGAAAGCCCTGACCAGGCAATAAGAATTCTCAGGGCACCTGCAGATATATGCCTACATGGCTTCATAAATGCTGTCACCTTTGTTACGATGGTCATTCTGCATCGGATCTTAATGTAACTTCCCAAACACAGTTTCCTATTGTGAAAGAATGATCTGATCTTGGCAATATAAGTTTCTTGGCAATATAAGTATTATGAATATTTATATTGTGTATGTGCATGTGTGTGTGTGTGTGTGTGTGTGTGTGTGTGTGTGTATCTCACTGTAAGTGAGTTGGTTAGTTGACATTCTGGCTTATTAGTGAAGTTCACTTAACAAAAGTCTGTCTTCCGCAGATTTATAAGTCATATTACACAAGAGTGAATGAACAAAATACACTTTTTTTACATGCAAAACTGATGACAAGATGCTAGGATGTGCTGCATCAAAATGCATTCACACTGTAAGCCCAGCCTTGTAGCTTTTCTTTCTAAACCACTGTTTAATTATTAGGTATCACACATAGCAGGTACATAATAGACATTTACTGAGTGAATAAGTGAATAAAAACTGTAAGTTTAAAGTTAATTGAAATCAGTTTTAAGTAGCTAATGATACTAAATTACTTTCTATATATGTGTCCCTCCAAGTCCTTTCTCAGAGGTCAGTCACTCTAGTTCATTGACCATTTTCATAATTCATTCAATGGTGCTATTCCTAAAATGCAGACCATGAAAATATGCATCTTGTGGCCTGTGGCCTTAGTGTGGGTAGTACTAATGTTGCCATTATTCTAATTTACTACACGAAAAATATATTTTACAACATTAAAAAGTTGCCACCAAAATCAATGTAAGAGTTTTTTCTCTTTCTTTTTTTTGAGGTTGTGTGGGGGTCAAAAAACCCTGATAGATAACTAACTGTTTCCAGTTAAAAAGCTCACTTAGCTTTTCTCCAAAGTCAGTAAGTTATTTTCAATTACAGCTGGTTATTTTCTAACATTACCAGCTGATGCTAGAATCTTTTCAAACAATAAAGAACCTCCAAAATGCAAACAAAAGGAATACAAGTGATATGATAAAAATCATATCATGTTTTCCAAATAATAGAACAATGGAGAAACATTAAATACATGTTTAAACATTCATTTTTAAACAAAAAAAGGTTTATCAATGCTATTGGGTTATTTTTATTTATTAAAGCTCTATCAGATTTGATAACCACTATATGACAAATCTTAAACATTCAGAATGTTCAAAAAATATTATCTGTTTAAGGCCTTTCAGTGAGACTGAAGCCAGTAAGAATCTGGGCATTTTGATTTTTCTATAAAATTACTTCATTTTCACTAGAATACTGAATTCTATTAAATTTTCTCAATACATATTTTTTTAAAAGATTCAACAAACAAGTATCTATTTTTCTTTGTGTTTCATGTAATTGAATTTTCAGTTACAATTCATCTATTGTATTTCAAACCTTTCAGGTAGAATAATAACAGAATCATATTAAGGCAAATTGGGAAGAAATTCTTTTTCTAAAAATGCTATTGAATTTACTTGGGAACTAAAAGGACATAATATGTTTAATTCTTGATCAGATTAGAAAAATAATTCGGTCTATAGCAGTATAAGGATATTACTGATGTGAAGAGAATATAATTTTTTAAAAAGTTCTGTTTCTGATTATCAGAGTAACACCTTCACAAACAATTGCTACACATGTATTCTTCTGGCTCTGCAGTCCAAGATTTAACCAAATGAGAATTTCATCCTTGTTCTTCTTTCAAGTACTTGGCTCCTTCAGAGCTATGGTGAGGGAGCAAAAATAGCTGATAAGTAAAGTGACTGAAATTCTTCCGTGATGATATAATCCAAGTTCTCCCTGTTGCTGGGCTATACTCCCTTTGTCTGGGTATAAATTAGAGGAATAGTGACTAGAGGTTCTTTTCTCTGTGTGCTATTATTTTTAAAAGTAATTTCTGTTTAGGAATTTTGATTTCTTAATTGACTTTTGACGTCTTACTGTACTCTGAATACTATTTTGATGCGTTATATGAGTTTATAAATTCAGTTTCATTTTCAACCGAACGAGGTTAGTTGAATTAAGGTATAAAATGAATTGGGCATTTATTAAAAAATGGTCAGTTTGTCATTTCTGAGGTACTGTAATATCTGTGGTTGAACACATAAACCTGAACTATTTCTTATTAGCATAAGTTTCATGTATGCAATTTCTGACTCATCAATAAGACTCAGTGTGTTCACTATTTTTTGATATTTCTGTAACACATATTAGGGTCCTAGACAAATATTTTGAACTGCTGAAACAAATAGTATCACATGCTGTTTTATGTTGTAGTTAATTTACTGCACAGAATGTTTTATTTAACAATCTACTCGTACGACAAACACAGTACATTTTTTATTGCATGCTGTATATAAAAATGATTATTACCTGGCAGTGATTTAGACCACTTGACTACTGAAAGAAGTTGCCTCTCGCCTAGTTGATTAAGACTCGTCAGCAAAGAACTGGAGGTGTCAGGTTTTGTGTTGTCATGCCCTGCGTAGATCACATCTGGTTCAATGCTCAGTAACAGGTTGATCAGTGGTGGAATCAACTGTATGTCTTGACTTGGTGAAAAAGTGAATCTCTGGCTTAGGGCTTGGTTTTCATTTGGAATGCCCACTGGCTGTGGGAGAGCAACAGCATCTAGTGCTCTCATAACTCTGACTTTATTGAATTTTTTAAATTTTCGACCTACGTAGAAGAAAAAAAAAAAAAGAAAAAAAAAAGAAGTTCATGTAAATATGAACTCAATATCCCAGTATAGTATTATTTTTCCTAAGTCTTAGAATCATAGCATTATACATTTTAGCATCAATCTAATAAAATAGAATGTCTTATTCTTATTAAAATGTTAGATTCTAAAATTAAAAAAATAAATTAAAACATGTGACTCTCAGTTAAAAAAAGGTTAGGCCTCAGACTTGGATTAAATAATTAGTTACATGAACAATCGGGGTGGGTGGGGTGTGGGTAATTGCACCAGTATCCTGCAGGGGTTATGGAGCTTTGTAGGAGAAGATACAAATGAAAAGACAAAGAGTTTTTAGTAGAGACTAAGCTCAGGATTCGTCCATATACTGACACAACTACCTTCTAAAAAGCTAATGCTACAGACTACATTAATTGAAACTTAGTCTATACAGGTTGTTAAATCTTCTTCAGTGTTTTATTCTTTTAAGAATATGTTAAAAGATAAGCATTTATTTGCAAACCCTGCAAAATCTTTTATACAATTTCAATGGATTCACTGATTTCTTAAAGTCAATCCACCTCCACTTTTATGAGATAGATTTAAGACTGAAAATTAATAATCCTTTTTCTAAATTAATGAAAGAGAAAGTTTACACACTGGTCAGATCACATTTGTATTTTTGGATAATTTCTAGAGTTTCTACTTTGATGAATTCTGGTACGTTAGGGGGAAAAAAGGATGGGGAGATGAGTAGAATCTGCTTTATGAGAAATGATTGAAGAAGAAAAAGATGATTATTTCAGAAAGAATTAAAGAAAGTCCTGGTGATATTCTGTCAGGCTGGATTTAGCCCCACCTGCTTTGTGCCAGGCAAGGGCTCCTTAGCAGTATGAATTACAGTGACTATTTAACTAAGGGAAGCCTGATTCCTGCAATTATCTAAGCAGAGGTTACAATCTGCTGGCTCTAGTATCTGATCATGCCCACAGAAATGTTTTGTTTGGCTCAGACAATGCTGACCAGAGATATGAGAACATCTGTGAATTACTTAGGTGACAAAATCTGTTAAAGTTTAGTTGCAATGGTTGCTTTTGGATGGGGCATAAATATTGCAGTTTGCCCAGTTCCTTCCAAAAACTGGTAGTAAGCCAATGGTCTCTTCAGTCTTGTCACTCGATCCACTTATTTACTTGGTCTCTGTACACATTTGTCTCTGTGATTTCTGAACACAGGGTATTGTCATAAAGAAAAAGTATTACACTTGTTCTATAAAGCCGCAAGGAATGGTCAGGGGCAGTGGCTCATGCCTGTAATTCCAGCACTTTGAGAGGCCAAGGCAGGCAGATCATCTGAGGTTAGAAGTTAGAAACCAACCTGGACAACATAGTAAAACCCTGTCTCTACTAAAAAATACAAAAATTCGCTGGCCATGGTGGCAGGCATCTGTAATCCCAGTTACTCAGGAGGCTGAGGCAGGAGAATCACTTGAACCTGGGAAGCAGAGGTGGCAGTGAGCCAAGATTGTGCCATTGCATTCCAGCCTGGGTGACAAGAACGAAATTCTGTCTCAAAAAATACCTTCAAGGAGTTGAGCTAGAACTTGAGAATTTATAGGAGATGGAAAAACAATTGCCATGGTTAATAAACAAAGGGGATTCAAAATTATTTGCAGAGATCAAACGAGTTTTCTGGGGAAAGCAATGAATCCCAATGGGAAGGGAGGGAACAATTATGGAGTGTTTACTGTATGCCAGGAATTGTGTGTGTGTGTGTGTGTGTGTGTCTAAGGGAAGGTAATGTTAAAACGAGGGCTAAAGAAAAACGTTTCCCTGTCCTTGACTATGATCTTGAATAAACGTACCACCTGTTTGTCATCTTTGTTTATTTTTCCAGTGTTTTTCAGCAATACAAATCTGCTAAATGAATGAAAGAAAACATTATTATGTCTTTTCCATCTCCCACTCTGAATAGCTTCCTTGTCTTTATTATCTATTGCTGTGCAGTTATGCACTATATAATACTGTTTCAGTCAGTGACCGACCACATATACAACAGTGTTTTCCTAAGATAATATTTTTTACTGTACTGTATCTTTAGATGTGTTTAGATATACAAATACGTACCATTGCATTACAGTTGGCTACAGAATTCAATAGAGTAATGTGCTGTACCAGTTTGTAGCCCAGGAGCAATGGGCTACACCATACAGCCCAGGCGTGTAGTAGGTTATACCATCTAAGTTTGTGTAAATGCACTCTATGATGTTCATTGATAAAATTGCCTACTTCATGACAGAATTCTCAAAAGGTTTCCCTCTGTTTGTTTCCTTCAGGTTACATACCTTCCTCCACCAGGTTTGCCGCCCCATAACAATAGGGGCTAGGTCCATTTTATTCGCCAGGTAGATTTGAAGCTTTATAAACTGCTAACTACACGGTGGACTCCCAATAAATATTTGCTAAGTTATTAAAGTAGTTGTTTTGACTTAACATAACTTAAAATAAGACTATCAGAAGAGAGTACTAAAACGGGAATGTGAACAGCAATATGATTTTTAAAAATTGATTTTTTTTATATGGAATATTTGTTCAAAGAAGTTATTCCTAACCTTTATATATAAGAACCACTACTAAGTAATGCAAGTAACAAATAAATCTGTAGAATTTCATGTAATTTTCTTTTAGCATTTCCTGATTGAGAAAATAGACAGTGGCAAAAAGTACTCAGAATTCAGTGACAATTTACAATGACTCTGTATTATATTTTTGCATCTCTGAAAAATAATGACACCTGGTATTTTGGGTAATCTAAGCAGAGAGTAGGTGTGCGGGAGTCAATGGTCCTCCATTCCCTTGCCCACTGCATCAACATGAGAAGATGGTAGGCATGGGGGCCTTGTTTGCTGGAAGGAGGAAAGATTTGGGCTCAGATAGTGGGGGTGAACAAGCGAAGATAAGAAAGTGGATGGATAAGGTGGCTGAATAGTTGTCTCCTATTCAAGCTGATGGATGAGGTTTTGAGGGATGGAATCAGAAGCAGATGTAATGATATGGGGGAGGTTTAGCGGAAAATAGCTCCATTTGGAGAATATTTTCTTTGTGGCCAATCTACAGTATGGCTACCCCTGTGCTCTGCCTTTCCTCATGTTACAATGCATGAATTGCCTCTGTTCCTGACATTTTGGTATCAAATGTTACTCCTTCTCACCCATTTAGGGACTTTTCTCTGAAATTATTTGCTCTCTTGTCTGTATCCTCTAGTAGTCCCTCTCAAGCATAATCTATTCCGTGGAGAAATATCACTCTCTCCATTTCCTCTCCTCCAATTCTCCCTTGAACCTTCTCCATTCAGGTTATTCCTCTTCTGATTCCAACCAAATTATTCTTGGCAAGGACTTCAAAGATTTACAAATGTCAAAAAACAAGTTTTCAGTCCTGGTCTCAACCCAGGTAAGCACATGACACATTGATCTCTTCCTTCTTCTTGTAACACTCATTCATTTGGCTTCCACATCTTTCATTCTTGTAGTTACTCTTTCAGTCTTTCTGGCTAGCTCTTTTTCATCTTCTCAACTTCTAAATCTTTGAGTACCCAGAGCTCAGTGTTCAGACTTCTCTTAGACATCTATGATCTCTTTCTAGGTGTCTGCATCTAGTCCTGTGTCCCTAATGTCATCTAGACACGAATGATTCCAAAATGTATAGTCCTAGTCCCAGCTTTTCTCCAAAACTCTAAACTCAACTATCCAACTCTCTTCTCAGCATCTCCACTTGTATTTCTAACAGACCCCTCAAATTTAATATGTTTAGAGCAGAGTTTTGATACACTGGCCCAAAACCTACATCTTCTAGGTTTCCAACTTCATTTACATACCTGCTCTGGCCCCAAAGTCTAGAGTCATTATTGATACCTCAATTATTCTCCCACCTCATATCTAATACATCAGCAGATCCTGGTGGATGACCATGAAAATATAACCCAAATCCAAATCCCTGTTTCCATGGCTTCCACCATAATTTAAGTTCCCACAATCACAGTTGGATTATTGTAACATATGCTGGCTGGTTTCCCAGCTTTCACTTTTTGTAGCCCATTTTCTATACAACTTTAAACAGTAAAATCAGACTACGTCACTCCTTGCCTACTATTTTCAGTGACTCCTGATTCTACTTAAAATGAAGTTAAAATTCCTATGAAGCTCTACAAGGCCCAACTTCCCCTTGCATAGATAGCCTCTCTTCTCTTCTCCTTCATGCTCCACTCATATTGACACCAACTTGCCCTTAAAGTGTATTTCTGCCTTGTGGTCTGACACTGACTGTTTTCTCTGCCTAAAATGATTTTTTCCTTGGATATTTGCATGGCTTGCTTTCTCACCTCCTTTATATTTCTGCATATCACCTTATCAGACAGCTTGTTCTTGTCTATCCTCTACATAGGTATTTATAACATATATATCCAGATTATACAAAGAATTTCAATAAATCAGAAAAGGAGTGAACAGATATTTCAAAGATAAAGAAAAATACAGACAATAAAATATAACGATATGATTGACCTCACTAGTAACCAGAGAAATGCAAAGTAGGACCACAGTGAGACAACATCTACCTAAAATGCCAAGAACACAGAATACAGAAACACACAAAATAATACAGAGCTGCCATAGAGTGTATACTACTACTTTAAAAACAATCTAGCATTATCTAGTAAAGCAAAACATGATCATGTATTACAATCTGCAGTTTCATGCCCAGGATTGCAGTTTACCTACAGAAACTCTCAAACATGAACCACCAGAAGACATGTGCAATAATGTTCACAATTACACTGTAGGTAAAATATAGAAAATGTCAAGTGGAAGCAGATGTCAATACATGAAAATGGATAAATTGTAGATCCTCATAGAATGAAATAATGCAGTGTAGAAAAAAAGCCCCAGAATATTACACATCAGAATTAAAAACACACAAATACAATCTTGGGCAGTAACATCAAA